TAGAAAAGAATACAGGTAAAATCTGTTAGATGAATTCACGCAGAAGGTACATGCGAATTTTCTCCGGTTTTGTATAGGAGAAGAAAGCAATGCACTTAAAACTCGTATATCAGTCGTTGCTGAACAACACAAATTGCATGAAAAGCGCATATGAAGCTCACCGTATGAATAAAATATTGTCTACACGAGTGTTCGACGATTGTATTCCGTTTTGTACCGGATTACATCGTGCATAGATCAAACCCATCGAGAACTGAGAGCGCAAAAGCTCAACGAATTTCCTTTTTAGTATAAATATTAGAAACATGTCGATGATCAAACTGAGAGCCAATCAATCCCACTTTTTTCACGTAATTATGCAAGTGTTTTCTTAGCAAATGACGAGAGGTCACTCAAAAGGTTCCCGAGTAGTACTAAGAAATGCGGACAGTAATTGTTGCCCAAAATCAAAAATCCGACTTCCTGAGAGACTTTTCAATGTTTAGCTTTGGTTGGCCATCACCACCCCCACCCCCACCACCAACTCCACTACCACCACTTGATTTGTGGCACAAACGAAAACACCGTGCGACTTATTGATCATCATATTTGTAGTTATCTTCGCCCAGCAGCCTCGGTCTCATTCACTTTTGCTGTTAGGGCAAACAAACGTTTGTTCCGGGTGCAATTCGCTTCACGCACGAGCCGGTGAAGAGATGCTTGGAGCGGCACGTAGACTTTATCACTCGGCGGCGATCTTCGGACAGCGGAGGGCAAAGAATGGTCGAATTTCTTACAGGTACGCTTTTCTCCCATACTCACAATGTAACTACGCCCCTAGGAAATGACAGAGGGGAATGGTATGGTGACAATCGTCCTCTCGCGCAGTGATGCGACAAATTTTGTTTTTCACTTTTTTCGTTTTTTCCGGTTAGATGCGTAAAACTCGCTGTCTGACACACTCTGATATACGTGCCGTGCTATTGAAGAATGAATTATTTAAGTGAAACAATAATATTCAGCTCGTTGAAAATGTCAAGGTTGTTTTTCAAGTTTCATTGGTATGTAAGGTGGACGAATAAAAACTAATTTTATTTGGTTATATCAAAAGCAGCTAACGAAATTAGAGAGATTACCAGTTCACAAAGAAAATTAATTGATGGCGAGGGTTTTCAGCGGTATATATGTATGTCTAGCATAATTGCACCGCATGAGAGAGGACATTACGGTTGGACGTTTTTCAATCGAACGATGCTAGCACGTTTCTATCCCGTTACATCCAAAACTGAGTAAACAATGAACTTCTTTCGTCACATACGTTCTGCTCTGAACCATTCTAGTGAGCCGCCATCCGTCAGTTCGCGAGATAATCCAGTGTACCGATGGCGTTCATGCTTGGGTTCAGCTTGTAACGAGACAACTAATAGTTTTATGATTAGAACATGCATCAACAGCTGTCCCTTATCTATCAAACAACCTCATACTAAAGTGGATTGATTGTAACTGACCCCATCTCTGTGTTCAGCTTCATACTCTTTCCAGTCAACCGCACACTCGGAAGCACTAAACTCGGTTTTACCTCCTATTAGAGCTCGTCAGTAGTGCATATCCACCATCCCAATTGGCCCGGAGTTCAGAGCTCGTATGGAGCGGTGGATATGGACTACTCATGAGCTTTATAAAGAGCAAAGCTCGAGTTTGGTATGTAGTATATGTATGTATGTATTCCTTGACGTGCCACTAAGGTTACTCCAGATGAATGAAGGACAACGTGCGATATTTGAGACTCGGAGTGGTGGGTGAGATGGTTCCTTACTGTATAATAATATACCCGGAAAACACGACAAACCACACAACTGCTTGAACGGGGAATGAGCTCTGTTCGTATGTTCCGCAATGTGCATGCTTAGGCTGATCCAACGCTCCTCATTATCGCCGGTATAGGACGGAGCCAGTCCATACAGCCTCAAATCGACCAAATATGAGCAGCCGATATTCTGGAACGTTTACAATCCAACGGAAATCGTGTATCCAGCACACCAGACTAGAGCTAGACTTACTCAATGTCCGCCAACCAACCATATTCTTTTGTATCTGTTATGTGATCATATTGTTTTCTTGCAATAAGGAAGTAGCCAGAGTTCTGTGGACTTATTCTCACATCTCAGTGTCGGACGGTCTCGATAGATGATTACCAGTACGAGTTCCCTTTGGCGATTTTGACCGTGATTCTAATTTATGACTGGCGTTTATTCTGACTATATCGGAATGATCTCCGTTTTCTTCGCGAGGATGAAAAGCAAACATAACGACTAATCGATTGATGATTCTTTCTAGATAATATGCTCCTTTGCTTCCATTTAGCAGCCTAGGCTTACAATCATCATGATGCACAGGAGAGGTGTATGACAAGGTTGTTTACCGTCGAAGATAATCAGGCGAAATTGTTGAGATTGTCGAATAAATTATAGAGAACAGTTAAAGAGCAATGAACTATTTCTGGCCACAAAATGTTAAGTATCTTTGACATATGGATAAAAGCAATTTGTCTCTGGGTTTCTAACATATTATCACCCTTTTTTGGAACACAAACGTGCATAAATCAACTCATATTATTACGTCGGAGACTATGTGACATTATTCTGGTGGTTTTGTCTCTACGATCCCTAGTGGAGATAGGCATAAGATTACACTGCATGTTGAACAAAGGTTACTGGATAGATATAAGGAGCAAGCAACTTTACCAGCTTGTCCAATCAACCGAGATGCTCTTTGTTCAGGAAACCCAGGGACATGTGCTACACACGTGAAATTTAATAGTCGTTGAAATATCCATTCCTCCCAAATTTGTTGACCGGGATAGGCAAACGCGGTTTGAGCAAACGTGGCGGGAGTGGTCCCCCGTGCCATTTGTCTGTTTGGCTGTAACGGTCGCATTTTTCGATCCAACCGAGGGGGCATATTGTTCCGGTACAGTCTAACAGCTACTCTGTGCCCGTGTCCGTGCAAGTGTGGCGGGCGATTGGGTCGAATTTGGTACCAGGTGACAGTGGCCTTGGGATTTGAATCTGTTTCACACTGGGTGTGAAAAGGGGACAGACAAAAGATTTTTCGTTGAACACTTTGCGCATATTCTCTGATGTCTGCATAAATATTCTACTTGGTATTTTTCGGAGGAAATAACCTGCCTGAATACGGCCGACATGGCAACAAAAACCCGTATTAGTGTTCAATACAAATGACATTTTCTGTAAACGAGAAATTATTTCATTTTGATAACGTTTTCAGCAGTATAGTTTCAGTTAAGTGGTCGACTATCCCAACCATCCCGACATTGCTTGTTCTGCTCGAGTTCTCAAAACTTAGTATACTGTACAGTCTTTAGATTAACCATGGCAAATTCTGTTTGAAGCCTAAATATATTCCTGATGAATGTGAAATGCTTTTTATGGTCGAAAGAAGAAAACAACCTCTTACTGACAAGAAAACATCATGCTGTTTGCTCAAAACTGAAAAAATTCCCCACAGAGGGTCAGGAAGCTCACCAGAATTCCACATGCATGGCATTCAAAGAAGTTTCACTACCTCATTTCTTGGATGTTCTTGACGACTCTTCACTTTGCATAAGATTTTCTGGTCCAAAAATAGCTATTTATCTGACGGAATCACCAAAAGATGTACTAGGTACAGTTCAGTTACACTTTGGGCTAGAAAACGCCAGTGACGATTTACGGAAATAGTATTGTGAACGGTCTCAAGCCATGATGATAGAGCCTAAGGTTGCCTTTCAGTGATGCACGCTTAGCGCACCTTTATCGCGGACTAGTCACCGGTAGGAAAGGCATTAGTGTAAGCGAAACGATCTGCGAAGCTGATGGTTCACTCATTCATAATCAACAGCGACGCCTTGCATGCTGGACGGAGCACTCTAAGGCACCAGCATCGGCTTCTCACAAGCTATTACGGCGCACGTCTCANCAGACTCACCTTTTGAGGTGGAAATCCGTAAAGAGATCCAAGCCTTGGAACGCCACAAGGCGCCCGCTCCGACGGCAACCACTGCTCTATTTAAAGATGGTGGAATGAAGCTTGCTAGAGAACTACAAAGTTTGTTCTCTACAGTGTGGAATACAAAGCAGGTCACCGCCTCATGGGGGAATAGATTTTTGTCCCCATCTTCCAAATGAGCCCAAGCAGTGACTGCACCAATCACAGGGGTATAAGCCTTATCCCATAGCATATAAACTGTTGGCGTCCGTCATTCTCCACCGATTTCACACTCTGCGTGAAGAGCAGATCCCC